CTTCTCATAAATTCTATATATAGAAGATCTAGTGTGTCTTTTAAAATAGTTGCGACATACTTCAGGGAAAATGTAAGTGGGTACAGAGATAATGCAACAATAGCTTCAGAGTTATCTGACAGGAGAATATCCTTGATAGATTGATTTGAAATAAAGCCGTTTTCTCATAATATGCTTTCAATTAGATTAAAGAATAGATAAAACAAACCACCAAAATAATAAATAAGAGCATATTTTTCTTCAGGGAGAATACTTGCACATATTGTAGAAAACAGAACCTAGGAGGACAGATTGTTAAAAGTATTAGTTCAAGAATAGCCAAGGTTTTACTTAAATCCAAATTTTGAGTACTAAAATGACACCTGCCAAATCTGCCTTGAAAATACTACAACTGTGGTTTTGCACACTCTTTACAAAATATAGCCCTCTTCTTAAGAAAGTCTTTAGTTCCTGTTCTACACAGAATTAAAAGGCAAAATCTACATGACTGGCAGACCTCTTGACTAACACACAAGAAGTTCTCAAACTACAAGCAAATTTAAATAGTAAAATTAAAAGATCAGATACTTACAGTTCAAATGCTGACCTATGGGATACTTCAGGATTTGCTGCTGTCTGGAAAAAAAAAAAAGGACAAAATTTTATGTAAATAACAAAATGCAAGTGTAATTCACTTGTATCACAAAATATCATAATTAAAAAGGACACTATTTGTCAAGGCCACTTTTCACCATGTCAAGTGTCTTTCTAGCACCTCACTCATTGCACACATACTATATATCTATACCACCTAAAACATTATTTTCCAAAAACAATCATATTAAAAACTTTTTGACTAGTCCAGCTCTCAGTAACAGTGTGAGCCCCTTCCACTTGAAGAAGAAAGAAGCAATTCTCTTCCACAACTACCTTTGGGCAAATCATATTTTACAAATGACAAATCTGAAATTGAGTATTTTTTATCAAAAGTAACTGCTTCAGTTTTGAATCAGTTTCTGTAAGCATTCACACTTTGCTCCCTTTGCAAATTAAGTACATGGCATTTCTCTCACTTTATAACCTAGGCCTAAAAAAACAGTTTATGTTCCAACTGAAAACTACCCACTTTAACATTCAAAAATGTTTAATGAATATATTTACAAAGTAATAAAAAAGAGAGGGAAAACTAAGAAAACTGTCAAATAATAATAGAAATCATTGTTAGAATAATAAGCTGGGATTTTAGCACATTAAATGCTTACCCTATGTTAAGACGTGAGCAAGAAAAAACAGTACAATTGCATTTCTATAAAGAACTTGCTTACTACAATGATTACAAATATACTAATGATCTGAACTGCAAATAACAGCTACTCAAAAGGAGAGAACGAAATGCACACATACATGTGCTTGTGTGTGCAGGTGTATTCTACTGCATCTAACCAGCTCTTATTACAGAACATAGTAACAGTCTTCCTGAACTCTCTGCAGAGCTTAGAAAAGAGGCTTTTCATCTTCCTAAAGAACCCTAACAAACAGAGCTTGGTAAGCTAACTCAGCACTTCCTAACTAGCTCGAAAAGGGTACAACAAACTGTAGCTTTTAAACTTTCAAGCAACCTTTCCCTGGAGCAGAAAGGCAGCTGGCTGACCGACAGTTTATTGGGAAGAAAAGAAGAAAAAAAAGGTAAAGTTACTGAAATTTCTTTTAAGATGTTCTGACTTCCCCTCTCCCCCATCCTCAGAAAGACAACCTACACATAGCCCTGGAAACTCTGTTGAAAGAGATTGCTGTGCAACAATTAGCAGAAAATTCAACGTTGCTACCCATGACACACAATTTGAAGGGTACATGACAAATGTTTTTTTTTGCATATAGAAAAACACAGTGGAACACAACTGCTTGAACTACTCTGCTTTATAAAATGTGGAACATCACAAGTCGCTCTTCCTGATAACTGGAAAGGAGAAATGCCTGTATCAGTGTCTCCCCAAGAACAGATTAATACAATATACAGCCTTTTGAGCTTGTTACGGGATTAACTGCTGACGTTACTGTATTTGCTGATGTGCACTTTCACTTTTTAATGAAAAATTTAATAGCACTTAAAAAGAACCATATCTCAGTTAAGAATATGTATTATTTTGATACACTTTCTATCAGTTATTTAGCTACGCTCTGTAGGTTGCAGGCAAATGATAGGGTCACAAATCGGGCACTGGCCTGAGATTCAGCTAACTGAACAAGATGTGGGATACTATATGACATGAAAAATCTCTAGAAAGGAAAATTAACAGTTATGAAGCTGACAGGAGTTACAAATACAGTTGGATCTCATGGATGGTTAAGGGTAAGTTACAATAGAAATTGCTAAATGTCACAGATAACTGAAGGGAACTACTAGGAACCTTTTAGGAAAAAAGGTCACAAAGAGCAACAGCACCAAGGAAACCATATCAACAATACCATGTAAGGTTGAGTTTACCTAGTTAATGGTATCTGAAATACTAAATTTCTGTTTGGACATACCAAAACTGGGTGCACTGGGGAAAAAGTAATTAGGTGTGGTTGTTCATTTGTGCTAAGACTGGGTTAGAGAAATAGAAGTACAAGAACAGCAAAAAGAAGGATCAGGAAAGGGAGAAGGAATAATAAGGTATGATCAGTGCTACCCAGAGACACTCGTTAAGCAGCCCTAGGTTTGATCACTGCAGCTGGAGCAAGAAAACCAACCAAACCTGTCGTTTTGACCATATCATAAGGCTGAAGCCTGTTCCTGTGGTCAGGAGAATGGCAGGCAGAATGCTAAGGCAGCAAGTAAGTAGCTAGCTGGAACAAGCTGGAGCTTGGGCAAGGCCAAAACAACACCTTGAACATTTGACAACTGTACAGCCTATAAAAAATAAACAAAAACCTGCAACAACAGCAAAACACCCTGGTTGCCTCACTAAAAATAAAACCCTGTATGACAAAAAGTTTTCACTAGTAGAACATGAACTATAAGGCCATACGATGCCAACAAGCCAGGTAGGCATTCTAGACAGTTCTCAGGGTAGCTAGCAAGTCTGAATCCAGCCTCGACAAAATAAAATATAGGTCCAAATAGCGCAAGACACAGGAAAATGAAACAGTACCACAAATGTTAAACCATGCAATTACTGAAGGCTATGGAAGGTAGCCTACAAAAGCATTGGAGACACAGCTCTCCAGATTCTTCTTTCTTTCTGTATGTCTATGACTCCCAGTAATAAATACAGTCTACAAGACTGTCTTCTCAATAGCTTTCCTCTCACTGCTACTCTTTTCATCCCTCCAAAGATAGTCTTTGCTTCCCTTAGAAGTTCCTGACTGCTGACACACTTGAAATACCAGAGGTATTTGGTAGATCATTACAATGATCTACCAATGCTGATTTTGCCAGACTAAATAAAACAACAGTGGAATTCAGGGTTCACTAAAGACCAGCTGGAGAAGGAACTGAGAAGCCACCAGCAGACTGATCTTCCCAGTGCAAACTGTGGCAAGGGACTAAAGCCACTCCTACTATCCTGGCTTCCTTCAGACCAGGAGGAAAGCAGCATTTAAATCAGCACCCCTAGAGCAAGGAGCCTATGCAAATTTCAGCACCTCAGGTCCATGAACAACTTCCCCATGCCTTTTCCATTCCCCTTCCCAGGCCAGGTTGCTAACCCACATCGCACTTACCTCCTCCACAACAGCACTTAGGGCCAGCAAGGGGCTCTTGGCCCCAGCCATAGCAGAGCCTAAGTGCCTGCCGCAGCTTCCAGAACTTCCCATTGCTCCCTTGGGCAGGTGGCAGAGGCAGCACCAAGGAGCCACTCGCCTTGGAGGGCTGCGTGAGATCAGCCTCTAATTAAACCTAAGCATCTTTTTATTACCATGCTGGAAGCTGCCTGACTGTTGGCCTCAGGTACTCTACGTCACTCACGTACACTTTGCTCCTCTGAGCCAAGATGGGCCTGGGGCTTCCTCTATGATGGCAAAAGCCAAGCAAAACACATTTTTAAAAAAAATCAGACAGGTAACGTGGCTGTTTATAACTGGCAGAACCTGAGCAATGTGTGCGCGAAGGAAAACATATGGATCCTTGAGATCAGGAGTCAGTGAGCCCCCTCCCCCAACTACCCCAAAGGATATGTGGGGCAGTGAGCCCCCCCCATATGCCCTCCAGGACATACTCTAGGAGCAGGACGAGGCCTCCGGGAAGGGGATGCAGTCGTGGCCTCAGCTGTGGTGGGGAGAACCTGGCTCTGACTTGAAATACACGCTTCCCGCCCGGTTGCACGGGGCCACGGCTGGGGCCAGTCCCCGGCACGACGCCGCGTCCCCTTTGTTGTGTCC